ATGACGCCCCGCTGCGCGCGGCTCTCCGCGAGGAGCCAGCCGTTTGCAAGCTCCAGCCCACCCAAAGCATGCGCCCGCGCCAAAGCCTCGGAGGCAAAGTAAGAAGTATAATCACACCGGCGCTCTGGGCGACAGCGGGTCTACCGACGCCATTCATTTTCTTCCACAACAACCCCTTCTTCCTTTGATCGATGTGGACGGAGAGTCTCGCGAAGAGTTGGAGCGCCCAAAATGGCCCAATGTGGCCTCCAAAACGACCCAACGGAGCCAAATATCGTGCAAAAAAACTCCCGACATGCCTCGGCGCAGCCCAAATAGAGCCCCAAAACAGCCCCAAATGCTATCACCGGCCCCTCGGAACACTCCACGGAAGCCAAACTAGATCAAGCACCAACGCAAACACCAAATTTGGCAATATGGCTTTTTCGCTACCGATGCGCTCTTGAGGCTCCCCGATGGCCCCATGATGGCTCGACAGGGCCCCACGAGGAGCCCACGAAACCCCCGAGACGGCCACAAGGCGTCTAAGACCGCCTCAACAGCGGCCCAAGATGCCACCTTGACGTTCCATGGGGAGAGGGAAGAGGAACGCAAATGACCCCCCAGCAGCACTAGCAGCACCAATGGGACCAATGGCAGCAGAAGCACCCCCGCTGCGCTCTATCACCAGAAGCAGCACCAACAGCATCACCAGCAGCAACACCAGCAACACATGCAACAACACCACCACAACCACAAGCACCACCAGCAGGACGAGCGCATCAGCATCACTAGCAGCAACATCAACAGCAACTTCAAGAACACACCACCACCATCCCCAACACCAGCAACAGCACCACGAACACCACGGGCAGCATCATCACTGGTACCTGCAGCAACATCCGCAGAACCATCACCGGCAGCAACGTTTCCAGCACCGGGGGGCGGTACCAACGTCGGCACCAACAGCGCCATCGTCACCGGCAGGACCACCAGCAGGACCAGCAGCAGCAACACTATCGGCGGCGCGCAAACCGCAGCACCACCAACACCACCAGCATCACCAGCACCAGCATCGCAAGCAATAGCGGGGGCACCATCAGCAACAACAGCAGCGGCTGCGGCAGCACCAACGAAACCAACACACGCACCACCCCTATCACCACCAGCCCTCCAGCACCGTTTCTGGATGGCCAGGTAGACATGCGCGAACGTGAACACATGTGCATCAGGCGCCACCACCGCGGTCACAAGAAGGGTGGGGACGAGAAGTCATCAACGGAACTGGAAGAACACAGAAACGAGAAGGTGAAAATGGAATAGGCGGGAAAGGGAAAGGTAAACATTCCTCGCAATCGACAACCGAGGAATTCCACAGCAAGAGACGGCAAGAAACCGGACAGCGCGAAATACCGCGAAGACGACCTGAGCGACGCGCCTCTGCGAGCTCCGTCCGCGCCGCCCCCAACTGTCCGAACACTGGGTGGTCGAACGGCACCGCGTTCGACTCCACGTGCTCCGCCTCGGCGCGCCTCTGGGAGTCCATCTCCGCCTCCGCGCGCACGAGAGCCTCACGCAGCTCCGAGGCCGCCGTCTTGGACGCCTCCAACTCCATCTCTGCGCGATCCTGGGCGTTCCGGAGCTCCGAGGTGTCCGTCCTGGACTCCTCCAACTCCGATTCGGTGCGACGCTGGGCGTCCCGCAACTCCGACGCGGCCATTCTGGCACCTTCCAGCTCCGCCGCCGACGCCTCCGCCGCCACGGCGGCGCGTCGCTGGGAGTCCTGCCCTCCCCCCCGGAAACGGAGGGCGACGAGGAAAACTCGAAGCCCTGGAGTCCCCCACCCTCACAGTCGAAGGCCACGTTTACGAAACCCGTGTTGCTTCGCATCAGCAATTTGGCCCCTGCTGACTTTTTTCAAAATAATATATTGGGATGAAACGCTGCCGCTGGATATATCGAGCACAGTTGATCACAACACAAACGCTCCTGCGATCCCCGCCAAAATGGCAAGAAATGGTAAGCTCAGATCCGCATGGCTACATTGCAACCGAACCGTTTGATCACCATCTCGACCGAACTGGCGGAATTTGACCACGCGTCCGACAAAATACGTTCGACGAGGGATGCGCTGCACAACGCCCCGTCCACGGGCAGCGCTACGAAGAAAGCGGGCCCTTCGATGTGTCACTTGCAGCGCCCGTGAAAGTGACACCTCCCAGGGCCCACTTAAAGAGCACCAGAAAGGCTCCAAGAAGGCCCCGAGAAGACCCCAGGGCGGCCCCAAGAGAGCTCCCAGAGCGACCCAAGAGAGGCCCCCCAAAAAACCCAAAAGGGCCCTCCGCGGTGTCGCTTTCAACGCCCGTGACAATGACACCTCCCAGGGCACACTTAGGGCCTCAGAAAAGCTCTACGAAGGCCCCGAAAGGGCCATAGAGCGCCGCCCTGAGTTCAACTCCGCGTGGCGGAGTTGGAAGCGATAACTTCAATACCTACTGGAGGCCTCTTAGGGGCCCTAACTCCACCTGGCGGAATTGGAAGCGATGTCGCCCGGCGCCTTCATGGAGCCGCTCGGAGCTTCCAAGACGGCTCCAGAAGGATCCAGGATGGCCCCAAGAGGATCGAACGACGATTCCTGGAAGTGCACCAGTGAGACCCTTGTTGACCTCCGCCTGGCGGAGTTGGAAGCGACAATTTCCAGTGCCCTCTTGGGGCCTCTGGGGGGCCCCTCAGAAAGCTTTGGGGAGCGCAGTGAAGGCCTTCGCAAGGCCGCGTGACAGCCGTACCAGGGCCGCATGTGTGCGCGGATGGGGGCGACGAGTGCTGACGCTGACGAATATGAGAATGATGAGGGCGATCAAGGCTGGCCCGAAACAAATCCTGGCGCCATTGCAGGCCGCCGATTATCGGCCACGCCGCCAGGACGACGCCAAGCAACAAAACGACACCAACCAACAAACCGACACCAACCAACAAACCAACAAATCGACACCGGCCAACAAATCGACACCAACCAACAACAACGACACCAAGCAACAAAACGACACCAACCAACGAAACGACACCAACCAACAAAACGGCACGAATCAACAAAACGGCACTGACCAACCAAACGACAAATCACTTCACGACACCAATGAACAACGCGAAATCCACCGACCGCCAACCAAGCATAAAATCAACCGACACAACGAAACCAACCCATAGAGCCAGACCAACCACTGGATTCGTGAGTCGGGGTAGTCATGGAAGTGAGCCGCTGCAGCCCGCGGAAGCCATTAACAGTGACCAGAGCACCGCAATGCAGCAACGTCCCCGGGCGGCGGCGGGAGTCTTGGATCTCCCGCGGGACTGGAGCGTAGCGAGTTCGTCCTGGGTCCGGTTTAGTGAAGTGAAGAATTTCGGGGTGCTTGCATGGCAAAAACCTTCACTTCACTAATCTGGGGCCCCTGGAGCCCCAGGGCGTTTCAGGTCCCCTCGCTGTCTGGGTAGTCCAGGGGGCGCAGTGGCGGCTTACCAGAGGCCCTGTTCCCTAGCCTCACTTGCTTTCACACGTGGTGCTCGACGGCCGTCTCGGAGCTGTCTTGTGGCGGTCCGGGGCAATCCCGAAGCCTCTTGGAGCCATCCCAAGGCCCCAAGGCGCCACCAATGGGAGCCCCAAGAGAGCTCCCAGAGGGCCCCGAAAGGCCTACAACAGATTGCACGTTCGCGCGAATTCTTTGTACCACTTTGGGGGATCCCTCTTGGGGCCCTCGGGGAACGTTCTTGGGGCCCTCCGAAGGCCCACTGGGGCCCCGGGAAGGCCCCAAGAACGCTCCCAGAGGGCCCCAAGAATGCTCCAAGAGGGCCCCAAGAGGACCCCCACAAGTGAAACAAACTATTTGCATGAGGGTGCAACTTACTCGGCGCCTCTTGGGGCGCTCTTGGAGCCGTGCTGTGCGCCACACGTGGACGACATGGGCTGGGCGACGGCATGTGGACCCTGTCGCTTGGGCCATCGCGGGTGCTCCCCAATGGGGCCACGAAGCTTGTGAGCGTATGACGGAATGGACTGGGCGGCGGCCTGTGGGCCCTGCCTGTAGGGCCGCTGGTGTACCTCCCCGTGGGGCCACGAAGCGTGTGAAACGTATGCCGAAATATGCTGGGCGGCGGCCTGGGAAACCTGCCGCTGAAACCTTTTTCCCCATATCCAACGATGGGGTTCTTGTTATTACTTGGAGGCCTCCTACTCCTTCTCTTTCCTCCTCCTCTTTTCTCCTCCCCTCTTGTCGGACATACTTAGACTTGCTCATACACAGACTTACTCATACTCAGACTTACTCATACTCAGACCTACTCATACTCAGACTTACTCACACTCAGACATACTCATATACAGACTTACTCATACACAGACTTACTCATACACAGTATTAGTCATACCCAGACGTACACATACACAGACTTACTCATACACAGACTTACTCATACTCAGCACCCCTAGGGGGAGCCGCCAGGGGTGGTTGCACGGGTTCGTTCGCGGCCATTTTGTGGGGATGTCTCAGGCGGTTTGCCTGTTTTTGTGCCCAGCATCCCTCGCTTTCGGAGCAGATTTGGAGGATGTCTCGAGCGAGGCGCTCACTTTCACCCCCCAGGTGGGCCAGATTTTGAGGATGTCTCGATCGGTTTGCCAGTTTTGGTGGCCAGGCTCGTGGGCGCAGATTCTTCTCAGGATGCCACAGGAGGCTCCACCAGGCTCCAGGAGGCTCCAGGAGACCACATCATGAGGTCCCAGGAGGCATCAGGAGGTCACAGAAAGACTCAAGAGGCCACAGGATGTCCCAAGAGGCTCCAGGAGGCCCCAGGAAGCTCCAGATGGCCTCAGGAAACCACAAGAGACCCCAGGAAACAACAGGAAGCGCCAGGGCGCCTCGGAAGGCAACACGAGGCCCCGAGAGGCCCCAGGAGCAGGAGGCCTCAGAAGGCAACAGGAGTGGCTCCAATCCCATGTGTTTTACGTATGCTCCTATCGATTGGGCCTCACCTGGAGCACGATTCTTTGATGTTTTACGTCTGTTTCTATAGATGGTCCTTCTCCTGTGTACACAATCCTAAATGTGTTACTCATGTTCCTATGTGTTGGGCCTCTCCTGGGGCACGAGTCCTTGGTGTTTGACGCGTGTTCCTATTGGTTTGCCCTTCTCCTGTGGCTCTAATCCGCAACGTTTTATGTATATCTGCTGCTATAGATTGCGCCTCCCCTGGGGCACGAAACCTTCCTAGGAGGTCCCAAGAGGTCCCAAGAGGTTCCTGGAGGCCCCAGGAAGCCCCAGTAGGTTTCAGGAGGCCCCAGGAGGCCCCAGGCTCATGCACAGAGACGCGCTCGTACTACTGAGGCTCATTCACACTCCAATTCATTCGCAGTTAGATTGATGTCCAGACCGTCACAACTGAAGCCCGTTAGTATTCGAAAGCTCTTGCGCCTAGACACTCACGGCGGACAGGTCCATGCGAGTATATGCGCATATGGGGAGCTCCACGCAGTGAATAATGTTGGTGGGGCTGCCTATAGGGGCACGAAATGTTTGAGGGTGTCATCAATGTGGCCTGGGCGACGGCATGTGGACCTTGCCGCCGGGACCTCCGATGAGCTCCTCATGGGGACACGAGACGTCTGAGGGGCGTGCCGACATGGGCTGGGCGGCGCACTAAGGACCCTGCCGGTGGGGCTTTCGGTGGAGCACCTCACAAGGCCACGAGACTTGCGGGGGATGTGGCGAAGCAGAGACGCGGGGGAACAAGGGGGAGGTTTTGATGATGTTGATGAGGACGGTGATGGTAGTGATGATGGAGACGGCGAGAATGCTGATGATGCTGATGATGATGGTGATGGCGACGATGACGATGGACGATGACGACGGACACACGCGGAGAGCAGGGGCAGATACGCGAAAAGGGAGGACGAGGGAGGGGGCCTGAAGGAATGACGCGGAGCGGTGTCTCTTCAAAACGAAGAACCAACACTGCAATATGGTGGGAAATTTCTGGACGACCCCCCCCTCGTGGCGCGGTCAATGTCCGCGACAGCATCGCTGGCACTACGAACGAAATGATGGAACTCTTCCTGCGACGTTACCCGCGGGGTGGATCAGCCAAAGATGGGGGTCGAAACCGCCCCAGCGCAAAGCAAATGTACAATCCTGAGAAACCCCAGCCCACATCAACCGATCCGCAACAAGCACGCAAGCCTTTGACGACCCCAACGCACGCGACATCGCATAACGCGACGCGCCATCGAAAACGTTCGACGCGCGGCCTCGGAATGACATCGGACTTCATGGAACGTCGAATGGAAAACATGACAAACCGCCCTGTGGGCTCCGAGACCCAAAATTACTGATGTGAAGGATTTCGGCTCGTCGAACGTTCACCCCCCCCCATCCGCGCGTCGCGTACAAAAAACACGACGAGGGATACTGGCATTTCCCAGCCTCCAGAAACCGTCGGCGGGTCACAAAACCGCGGCAACACGAGTGGGACACAAGCCGCTCCCGGGAAACAAGTCCGAACCCCCAGAGGCCGACGTTGCCAATAAACCAGAGGCAGCGATGTGGAAGAAAGGTTCCCCGCTTCAATGTCCCGGCGGATGACCGCGGGTGACGCGTGGAAGCCGCGAGGCGGACATCCATCTCCACGCCCGCATCTTCTTTGTCGTCCTCAACCTCGTCTTTCTCCGTCCCC